GCCTTGATATGACCCTGGAGCTTGTTGCTATGATTAAGACTTACCCTTGGCAATGTATGGAGTGTAAAACATGCATTACATGTGGGCAGCCTCATGATGAAGAAGAAATGATGTTCTGTGATGTATGTGACCGTGGTTATCACACTTTTTGTGTGGGGCTTGACGCTATTCCCTCAGGTAATAAAGATTTAATTGTTCTCTTCCCACCTCCTTTGAGTCCTGGGGGTTCTGTCAGAACAGATGTGTTGCTTTTGAAAGAAGTTTAAAAGCAGTGTGAAGGGTCAGAATGAACAATAGCGTTGGAAAGCGTCCGGTAGGATCCCATTTTTTCATAAGCTTTATTTCTGTATGTTGTTGTTGTGCACAGTTTAACCTGGCAATTCCTGAATAGGAAATATAATTGGCTTTTACAACAAAATCCAGACCCACTTGGAGCTATTTTGTTTTAAATATACATTTCCACAGAATACTGAGAATAATGATCTCTTTTCTTAAAAGAAACCTGTAAAGACAGCTGTATTGCTGCATATTGCTGGAACACAGCTTTCACATTAATAAAGTGTGCTATTATTTTAATTTCTAAATTAAAAAAGTATGCTTAATATAGTATTTGTAAACACCTTTTTGAACACCTTTCCTTGCCCTTTTTATTCTTAAATGTCATATCTGGAAGTGAGGTACCTAAATTTCAGGCAGCTTATACCTTTGAATCACCTGCTCATTGGTATCTCCTGGCCAACTCAAGGCCCTGTAAAGAAAACTTCAGAGGCGTAACTGGCAGCAGCACTGCTTTTCACATGATACTAAATCCATGCTACGTTTGTGGTGACGTATTCAGCGACAGTATTCCCTGTAACTACTAACTGTAACTCAAATATATATCCCCATTTGGGAAAGCACTAGAGCTTGCTCTCATGTCAGTCCGGGTTCTGTGGCTGATTCAGATTTCATTCTGACTTAAGGAGAGAATCTGAGCAAAATAGATAATATTGCTACAAAATTTTAAAATGAGCAAAGCAGCTTTTGAGATTCCAGCTGTTGTAATATAAATAGTTAATATTCCTGCTCTTTGCTCAAGCTGTTACCATTCCCTCCATTAACAGGTTTTAGCACAAGGTCTCGTGCTGAGCCCCTGCCAGCACTTTAATCTGTGCTGCCCAACTGCACTGAAATAACTCACATTGGTTTGGGAAACAAGCCCTCCGAGCCTGTGGCACAATAGCAACATTCTTAACTGCCATTCTCTTCTGCTGTAACCACCCATAACCTTGAACTGTGGTCCTTCCTATGAAAACCCAACTTGTAACTTTGTAGTTTGTCATTTCTTTTCTAAGAACCACTGCCTTAGCAGTGCTGGCCCTTCTTGAGATCCACAAGTGTTGAAGTAACTGTTACATGCAGTGAGTCTGCAAGGGATAGTGAATTGTACATGCTGCTCTCTGTACCTTTTAGAAAAGATACTTAACATTTTAAAGAAGAGCTGGTTTTCTGCGTTAAACAAAGTGCTACAAATTGCTGAGAACCTGTTGAAATGGTGAAAGGTGCATAACTAGATGAGTGAATACAAAAAAGGTAGTTTCCCATTAGTTGATAACTTTCTTTTCGTAGGTCGCTGGATTTGTGATTGTTGTCAGAAAGACCCTTCCAGCCCCAGAAGAGGAGGAAGAAGGGGCAAAAACAGCAAGGAAGGCTAAACTCCCCTAAAAAACCTTGCTGTTTCAAAATGTAACTGCACAAATTGAAGTGATACTTTGGTGCTATTTAATCAACCACTTTTAAGGGGAACAATACCACTGCATTTTTCTTTTTATCAAATAAACTTTTAATTTTGGCTATATGACCATTCTTGTGAGACAAGTCTCTAATCACGTCCTGTCAGCTATCTAGACAAAAAAGTCAAACTCCTGTTCGAAAAGAAAAAGCTTCAAGTAATGAAATTTAAATGGTACATGCACCATTTGTATAAAATTAGAGTACCACACTTATTTATTTCAGTGTACTCATCTGTAAGCTCTGTGAAAATTACAGAGCAATTTAAATACATACTATTTGCATAGCAATTAATTTGAAAGACTCAAACAAGGCAAAAAGTACTCCTGGAAAAGACTAACTTTGAGGGAAAAAGTGAACACAATCTGACTTTCTTACAATATTCTGAAAATTCCTTTCAGCAAAAATTTTCTTCGCAAACTAATGAATTATTGATATAAATTTACAGGGAAAAAAGGGACTGTAAACATTAAAAAAAAAAAAAAAAAAATCAATCTCAAAAAGCTATAAAAGGGAGATGTAAGAAAATACCTCTCAGGCTTAAGGTACTATATACTGCATTGCTTTTAATGAGGAATGAGAATGTTCTACTGACAAGTAACAACAGCTAAAGGCTTTCCCTCCCTACTGTAATACTGAAGTAACATGCACTTGATTCAGTCATGGATTTGCAGAGGTGGTGAGTGACTGGACAGGCCTCTGCTTACAGATGACTGATGTACAGCACAAGCAGTCAAATTATAGCCCCTCCATCCCCTTATTCGGCTGTTTTTTTTCTTCCTTCACCCTACATCCCTCAACTTCAGTACACTTCAAAGCCATTGTTTGTTAGTTATACTGAAGGTAACATGTCAGAAGAGCAGGATTCATTTTTAAATATGCTCCAAATTGAGGGGGCACTACAGAGCAGCAGTTTGTATTCCACTCTTTATCAAGAAACTAATGACAGAAAATCATTAAGAGTTAATTTTTCCTAAGCACCTGTTTAGAGATCCCCAGCTCTACATTCAGTTTTAAGCCCTGATCTCTGAAGAATATTGCAAATAGTACAGTTGCTGCTCATTTTACTTTTAGGGGAAAAAAAAACTTACAATATAAAATTAAATATGTCTTTTTTTCTCTCCACCACTTTCCTTCTGGTTTACAAAAAATAAACTGAATACTTCTTCAGGAAACAATAAAGAGTATTAAATATTATAGAAAGTTATTCATGTTCAATTTCACAAACTGAAATGTGATTTAGTCCATCATGTATCAATTTAAAAAAGAATTTCAAGTATTACCTACAAGATTCCAATAAGTATAGTCCAGAAAACAGACTCTTCATCCTGAGATTCATCTTCTGTAGAGTGTGAGTATTTCTGGGTTGCCTCCATCTCCTCTGGATTGTAGGAAGCCTCGCCAAATGGATGCTGTACGACTGTTCGATCATAGTAGACTTTCATTTCAAACTCACTCTCCTGGTGGGAGGGATGCCCATAAATCCCTATTCCCACTGGTCGGTGGAAGTGTGCTGCTACGTGGACAACGTCTTGGCCACAAGTAACAGACTGTAACTCATACTCGTCAAAGCTGGGGTGAAGAGTCATATCAGATACATACAAATCACATCACCTTTTCAACTCTGCATCTGAAGTACTATCTTTCCCTCATGATTTAGTCTCAAGTAGCTGCAGTTTCCTGCTCCAATCTGGCCTTGAACAACATGAAGAAGAATCCATTCTTCAGGTACATCCTCTTCCTCAAAGGTTTTTACCAAACATAGTACTTGAGCTGCCACAAATACTATCAGGATTCTCCTCCAGCATGCTGCCATGGCTCTTACGTTTTATTCTGATTCTTCCTATTGTCAAGTCCAGTACTCTGCAAATACAAAACGATTTAGAGTTAGTATATTTCATTCCTGGATGGAATCAGTTTTTGTTCACACCAAATCAAGCAACTTCAATAAAAGCTGGTTATTTACTGAGAAAACACAACGCGCTGAATGATGTGTAGATTGTTTCTCTGCCCAAAAGCAGCATATTGTCACTGAAGAAGCGTGTGTGCACTTTCATCAAGTTTTTGTTACTATATGAACACTCAGCTCTTTACAGCACTTACCTACACGACAGCTCAGGCTGCTGGGGCAGGGCAGAGAGGGAAGGGGCTGTTACACAGTCAAGGCTCCCGCACCCTTTCCTCTCCCTCGTGGCACGCTGCTGCCCAGGCAGCCTCAGCACAACAGCTGCACTCAATGCACGAGCTCTAAACCTTGCCAGACTTCCAAAGAATGCGAATTTAAATGCCAGCCAAGGGTGCTTTGAAGCTTCAGATGGCTTCCATCACTTCGTGCCTTCCACAAAGACTGTACAATTACCTTAAACATGACAGCTACTACTACACTGTTGGTAACCCACTAGCATCAAAACAAACCGCATGACTCCCGCTGAAATGTCACTTAAATCGCACGGGTTTTACAGCTAACAGACGGAGGAACAACAGCACCCCAACTTTTCTACAGCTCCCAGCTTATGGTCCCACGGGCCACAAGGCCCCAGTTCTGCAACGACAGCATACAAGAGCACAGCCCCGCCCTCGTAACCGTCCAAACCAACAAAAACCCCTTTGAACAGCGACAGAAAAACAGCCTTCTACCTTTCGCGGCGCAGCTCACCTCCAGCCCGCCCCGGGGCTTCGGCGACTGCGAGGCCGCGGCTCCGTAGACGTGCGGCAGGGCAGGCCGGCCCCAAGGCGGGCCGGCACACCCTGACGGCAGCGGCTGCACGGAGGCAGCGCGGAGGCCGATCCCAAAGAGCCTCCGGGCCCCCTCTCGCTTCGCCGCTCCTCCCGAACCCGGCCCGGACAGCGGCGCGAGGAGCAGGCACCGCCTCCCAGCCCCGCCCCGCAACCGCCACTCACCGCCGTTGCGGCCGCCTCTCCTGCGCGCTGCCTCTCACGCGCGCCGCGGCAGGCAGGTCGGGCGGGGCTGCGCGCTAGCCGCAGACTGAGCCCTCTGCTATCGCGAGAGTTGGGCTGCGAGCGCGGCCATCGCTTTGGCAACCCGCTCCGCCCACCTGCTCCCGTGTGACTGAGCAACGCGCAGCGGCGCTTGTCCCTCTCGGCGACCCGTCGGCAGCGATGCAGTTGCCATAGTGACCTCCCATGAGCTCTCTCTCCCCGCCCGTTGCTCGGCGGCTGGGCTTCTTCGTCCCGATCCCGCGCAGTTAGGAGGTCGGGACGCACCCAGAGCCGCCAGCGGTGCCCCGCTGGAGGATGGAAAGCGAGGGCGACAGTTGTTCATGGGGAAGGAGCAAAGAGCCTGAGGTCGTCCGCGAAAAACGTCTGTTTAAGTCCAGGTTGCCGGAGTGCCTCGTCCAGGTGGCGTGCGGACACCAGCACTGCACCTTCCCTCTGAATCGCAACGAGCTGTGCGTCTGGAATACAGCTGGCAGCCCTGCTGCACAGGTAACAACGCCTCCCGCTGTATGCTGTAGAAAAACGTCAAAAGGGAAGGCATGGAGAAAAAATCATTGTTAAAAATGATGTTGATTTGCCTATCATTTAATGTGTAGGAATTGGGTTTCGTACTCACAAAACTCACGTTGCCACAGTGAATGTGCAAAGCTACATATTATTAAAACATATTATTTAAAAAAAAAAAACAAAAAACAAAAAACAAAAAAACACTCGTAAAGAAATGAGAATGTTTTAAATACTTTTATAATGAATGTTTGTTTATTTTATAATGAATATAAAATAATTTTATAATGAATGTTATCATTACACTTTAATGCATGCAAGTATAACATAGAGTTTCAGGGAATGATTCAGGGAGTGGGCATGAAATTGGACTAAAAATTCAGGGGAAACAAACATGGAAATTAATTAGAGTCACTTAGTGGGAGATCAGTAGACAGTCTGTGTATATTTAATATAAAGACATTTGAAAGCCAGATTCACTGCTGCTAGATTTCCTTCTTCACTTTTCTGTCTCTGTCCACACGCTCTTCAGCAGATGCTGTGTAGACTGTCTCTGCCCAGACTGCTCTCTGCACAGTCTTGGACTATTTTTTTTCATGTTATTTTTATCAAATGTCAGGAAGTTGAGTTCTTTATGTGATTCATCTCTCCATGCTGATAAACATTGATACATTAATCTGTTATAGAAAGACTCCTCAGTGTCTAGAGTAAAACCTAGAAGAAGGCTGTTGTGGCTGTGTTCTGGTTAGTTTGCAGCCTATGGAATCCTAAGACTTGATAAGATGTCCAAAATCTGTACAGTGTTGAAGGCAGCATCATAAAATGTGGATCTGCAGAACGACTGAGATGAACATAATGATGTGGTGATAAGAGGGATGAAAAATGTCTGTTCTCAGAGCCATTCTTCTCATCCTACTATGCAATGATTTGTAGTGGTGTACTCCCCTGTTCAGCCTTTTCCCAGAGAAGAATTAAAACCAGGAGAAGAAAAGTTCCCTTGCTTAGTGGTTGAGTGGCTGAAATATTCATCAAAAATATTCAGAAATATTTTTCAAATCTCTGCTCTGCTGGGTTTGAATCAGGATTTCCTGTCTCCAAAATGAACAAGGCACTATTAGGTTCTCTAGACATGCCATTCTGATACAAAAATTCTATCCTTGACATTAGTGAGATTTGATATGCATGCTTATTATTAGTGTTGCAAAGAGTACCATATATGGTCTAGGTAAGGAGGTAGATGGATAAATCTTCCTGGTATATAGTTCTGCTCTTTGCTTTCCAATAACCTAGTCTAATTGGACTAGATGATCTTCCAATCCATATTGTTATATATTATTAAATGATGGGTTACTCTGTATATTTTCCTAACAGATACTGGTATAAATGTCTTGTTAGATAGCTGCTATGCAATGTTTGTGAGAATCTTGCTGCATCAGAATTTTAGATTTTGCTAAATGTCAGTAATAATAAAATTGCTGCAGGGTTAACACCTCAAGGAATTATTATTGGAACTCTTCTGAGGTTGGTTCTTCATGTAAGATTTAGTCCAGATGATCAACAAGTGGCAGTATGTGCTTGAAATCGAATCTACATGTTAAGTGCAAAGGTGAGATACCATTCTTTGTAGCCACAGTGCTGTTGTTTCTTGAAGTTCATCGCTTTCAATAAAATCATGATGTGCTACTGTATGCATTCATATTCTCGTTTAGAAGAAAACAAATACAAATGAATGCTGAATAGCATTATCAATGACACGTCATAAAAATGATGACAGAGTAAAGTGTTGAAGTTAAACGATATCTCAGTGTTATGAAAACATCTGAAAAATTACTCCTTTATCATTCACTTTGAAAAAGCAAATGCAACATGTGGTGTTTTCTGCCAGCAGAATGATATATGTGGCTATATTTGGCTTAAGAAAATCTTGTTGAATTTATAGTTTGAACCTAAGTCTGATGTTATTTTTAGCAATAGTTCTTAGTTATTAAGACCTTGAATTAATTGCCAGTTTTGTTTTGAAATCTGTTTTGCTTTTATTTTGACTTTCCTATTTGTAGAATGAAGCTATACTAGTTAAATTGAATGGCCACCTGGCTCCAGTGACTGCTGCTGAGTTTTGCACATGGCAGAAAAATATGGTTATATCGGTGTCTGAAGACAGAAGCTTCAAGGCAAGGAAATTCTTGAGCTGCATTTAAAAAAAAATAATAGAATTAATGAATTTTTGAATTAATGTTGTCTTTTTTTTCCTAAAATCATTTGCTGAAAGCTAAGCAAAAGTCATCTTTGATATTATAGAGATCAAGATATTGTTTTTAAGAATTGCTTGCAAAGTTATCATAAAAATTAATTATTTTTATTTATTTATCTATTTCTAATGACAATGAAGGTTTTTCATAGTCAAAACAGTATAGTGAAGTGTTAACTTTGGTGATTTTTATTATCTGGCAAATAAACTCTGGCACTTATCGATTAAACAGAGCCCGACACAATAAAGAGGCAAACAAATAAACAAACCCTGTGGAAAAGAACCTTACTATATTGCATCGCTTTCAGTGGCTGCATTTCCTCGTTTTCACCACTTGATGGCCTTTAAAAGTTTGTTTTTTCCTTAAAGATCTAAGTAGGTGCCTATCTTATTTTGTTTTTCCCTATAGGTATGGGACTATTCTACTAGATTGTTAATGTATCAGTCAGGGATATTAACAGGTAAATTTTCCTTTTTTATATACTTCTGCACAGCAAAATGTATCGATCTGAACAATAAAATAAAATCAGTATGTAGGTGTTTAGTTGATCTAGTAAAAATATTTCTAGTAAACTATATGCTAGCTCATATATTTTCCTTTAAAGTGGGTAGGTAGTTTCAGTGTATTTTTATAAACAGTTCTTGAACAGAATATGCGTTTAACTGTTGGCATTTACTGAGATGTGCAAATAGTTCTATTGTCTATGTGGGGTTTTTTTGTTTTTTTTTTTAAGTTTTTTGTAGGAAATGAAAAGAAATACTATAAGTGTACCATGTGTAGGTTTACTAGCAGGGCTTGTTGTTGAAGGCATACATTGACTTTAAAATCAAAAGCTGCGTTTTATAGAAAGATGAGAACAAAAGGAGAGGAGGACAAGCATCTGTGCAGCAAGGACGCTCCTCTCCAATAGAACTTTTCCTGAGAGTAACCATATGGTTTTCACCAGAACATGCTCCAATTCTGTGCTGGTTGTTCTTGCTTACGGTTCAATTAGAGCAGTTGGAGCACACTTCAACTGGGGGAAGGAACTACATGGGAAATGGTTGTTAAGCTTTGTGCTTATCTACTATTAGATGCCTCAAAGCAAAGGGAGAGCTCAAACCTATGGTAGGAAAGAAGAGGAAGAAGGAATGACTCCTCTCTGAGCCTGTGGCAGTTGCTTTGATTGAACTGGTTTGTGGTAGCAAGGCCATGAGAATAACAGTAGGTGATCTGACAATGGGGCTCTGAAAAATATTGCTGCTTAAGCCTGGGTGAAAGGGTGCAGCAAACCACGGCCTCTGCAGTGTAGATAGAAGGTTACTGAAAATCACAGCCATACCATTTTAGGAAGGCAGGCTACAGATCTAGAAATGGAAAACCCACTGCAACAAAAAAAAGCGAAGACCCTTTGCCTTAGGGTTTTGTTGTTGTTGTTTTGTTTTGTTTTTACCTTTCTTTATAAATAGGAGCTAGCAATTTTGAATAAAATTTCTGATTCATGTGTATTCTGGAACTGATTGCAACTTTTTTGGAACAGCATTTCCTTTGCTAAGTCTACTAAGTGACGAAGAAAAGAGACAAATCATCACTGGATGTGCTGAAGGACAGGTAGTAGACATAAAAAATAATCTCTCTGTGACAAAATAGTCAACTATCATTAATTTATCTATCAAGAAGCATCACAATTTGCATGCTAGTTTTAAAATGCTGCAACAATTATTTTAGCAAACATAACAATATAGCACCTTTATTACAAAATGCAAACTTTTTCCTCAAAACCATGAAAGTTTTTAGAACTGCAATCAGTAAGTATATGTACACTGAGATGCTATATGTATCTGTTTTAAAAGAAAAAAGATGAAAAGCAGAATTCTCATTTTTTGGCCAAGAAAAAAACAAATAACCATAAATGGGAGAGACCATGATTTTAATGTGGTGGAATTCTAAGAAAAATGTAATAAATGTACTTGAAGCACTTGAATTCTTCTTTAATTTAATGCTAGGAATAAATTAATCTGATTTTTTTTCTGTGGCATATTGAAGCTCTCTTCCTTCAGTGTAAGTGTCCGATGGATAAGCAATTGGTTGAAAGGCCGCAGACAGAGGGTGGTGGTCAATGGCTCTGTGTCCAGGTGGAGGCCGGTAACAAGTGGTGTCCCCCAAGGGTCTGTCTTGGGACCGGTGCTCTTCAACATCTTTATTAATGACATCGATGAGGGAATTGAGTGCACCCTCAGCGTTTGCTGACGACACCAAGCTGAGTGGTGCGGTTGATACGGTGGAAGGAAGGGATGCCATTCAGAGGGGCCTCGACAGGCTGGAGGGCTGGGCTCAGGTGAACCTAATGAGGTTCAACACGGCAAAGTGCAAGGTTTTGCATTTGGGCTGGAAGAACCCCAGGCACCCGTACAGGCTGGGAGGAGTGGGCCTTGAGAGCAGCTCGGCAGAGAAGGACCTGGGGGTCCTGATGGACGAGAGACTGAACATGAGCCAGCAGTGCGCTCTGGCAGCTCGAAAGGCAAATGGGATCCTGGGCTCCATCAGGAGAGGGGTGGTCAGCAGGGACAGGGAGGTGATTGTCCCTCTCTACTCGGCTCTTGTGAGGCCCCACCTGGAGTCCTGTGTCCAGGTGTGGAGCCCTCAGTACAAGAAAGACATTGAGATTTTGGAAAGGGTCCAGAGGAGGGCGACTAAGATGATCAGGGGGCTGGAGCACCTCCCCTATGAGGACAGGCTGAGGGAGTTGGGCTTGTTCAGCCTGGAGAAGAGAAGGCTGCGGGGTGACCTCATTGCAGCCTATCAATACCTGAAGGGAACCTACAGCCAGGAGGGGAGTAAACTCTTCCAAAGGGCTGACAACAGCAGGACTAGGGGAAATGGATCCAAGTTGAGGGAGGGAAGATTTAGGTTGGATGTTAGGGGGAAGTTCTGTACAAGGAGAGCGGTTAGGCCCTGGAACGGGCTGCCCAGGGAGGTTGTGGATGCCCCGTCCTTGGACGTGTTCAAGGCCAGGTTGGACGGGGTCCTGGGCAACCTGATCTGAATGTGTACGTTTGGTGGCCCTGCTAGGCAGGGGGGTTGGAACTACATGATCCTTGAGGTCCCTTCCAACCCGGGTGATTCTGTGATTCTGTGTGATGGGTCATGAAGAAAGTTAAATATGTAAATATGGTGATGCCTAAAAAGACAAAGGTATCAATGAGATTAACTTATGTGGTCCATTAAGCAATTGCATACAGATAGCCTAGGATTTTTAATTGTAGGTAATAGTCTGTGAGGAGTTGTTTTTAAAAAACATAAACATATGGGAATTAGACATGCTGTTCAAATTGATAATGGCTTCTTCTGCTAATAATGAAATAATAAAATAATAAAACCTTTGAAAAGTTTGGGATATAGATAGATGTAATTTAATTTCTGGTCCCAGGTAAGATGAGTAAAAATTCATTACTTACATAAGCAGAGTTCAGTATTGAACCTCTAGCTCATATTTGTATAATTTCATTGCAGTTGCTTTTCTTTTGTTTTCTTTCGGCTTTGGATTTTCAGTTTTAGCAGTGATCATAGTTACCGTTGTGTGGCACATACTGACTTAAAGAAAGAGCAAGAGAAATTCTATAATAAAATCTGGAAATCTGAAGAAGAATTAGGTAGCATAGTGCTTCTAGTATGCTGGTTTTGCTATATTTCAATTGTTATTGACTACTGAGTGTGTGTGCCTTTCATGCCATGAAAGGTTAGTGTAAGTGATGGAGTTTTGAATCTCAGTCACGTGGAATCTTTGACTGAAGTTGATATGAAGATGGGGATTGGCATTCAGGGAGGAATTACGCATATGTGTCTCTAATAACATCTTGGATAATGTATCTGCTTGTAAATCATAGCATGATACATGTGAGAATAAAATCAATTCCTAAAAAAGATAATCCATTGTCTAAGTGGAGTACCATTTCTCAGTTACCTTTGAAGCTTCTAAGAATCTTCTATTTTACGCTGCGTTATGTTATTTTATGCTATATGTTTTGCTGTGCTATGTTGTTTTATGTTTATACCAGAGCCCCCATGATATATTATTTAACTGACAGTGGTATTTTTATAACACTGAGTACTTATAAATGAATAACAATTGCACCTCAGCAAGGTGATTCTCTGGCTCAAGACATCTCCATCTTTTGAAATTGAAAGATAGTGTGGTCTTATTTCGTGCTATTTTACTGCATTACTTTTAATTCTCTCTTAAATCCCTTCTGTTTGCCTTATTTCATTGTTTCGTTGACTGATGATATTGTTGATTGGTTTTTTTTAGGTGAAAGGCAAAATGCTTCTGCGCTTTGCAAAACAAACAGCATGAAACCAGAGGGGTCAGTGGAAGCATCATTGCCTGTTCTCCTAATTGAACACTGTGACTATTCAGTACGTTTCCACAATGAAGAAAATATGTAAGTCCCTTACAATATCAGGTTCTTAGGTTATTTTCACAGCATCAATTTTAATTGAAACTTTTTCCTTTGAACTGCAGATTTTAAAAATGCATTTAAAATCTTCTATGGGATGGCTTATTATTTTTGTCATATTGGAATCAAGTTAGCTAGTATTACTGTGTCTTATATATTAAAAGAAAAAAAAGAAAAAAAGCTTCTTTATCATACTCAGGTATGTTTGGTTTTTTTGTTTGGGTTTTTTTTTTTTCCTAATAGATGCTGTGCCCAGAATAGAAGCTATTTTTGGATAGGAACCTCTACTGGCTTATCATTAATAAATTTAGCAAACTTGGAACTGGAAGCGTTTTTATGTTACAAAGGTATCATTAGAAAATGTCTTGCTACAATCTAACATTTTCTTTGTTGGCTGATATAAATAGTAAAAGAATTAGTTAATACAGCAAAAATGTTTTTTAATATTTTAATTTAGCAATTAATTTTACTGTGCTTTTCTATCACTGATGACTTGTTTCAGAACATGTGTCAGTACTAGATTTTTGTAGTGGTTACTAATGAATTCTTATTCAATTTAGCAAGCTAAATACAAGGCATGTTATTCTACTCATACTTCATGATGTGGCTGTAAGCTAGAAGGATATATACTGAAAATCATGGATTATGATTATGTCAAAACAGCATGAGTAAATTTTTTTCCCTTTTAAATGTAAATACATCTCTTACCACTGTGTTCTTTTTGGTAAAGATTACAGTGGCCTCAGCATTCAATTTGCTAGATGGTGTTCATTAATGAAGAAAGCAGTTAATGGAAAGGTGAGTATATATTTAGCATTTATTTAACGAATGTTTACATTTCCAGTTATTTTTATAAACGTTAATTCTGCATTTTGTATACAAATCATGTACATGTATACTATTTTATTTATTCAAAATGTGAATTGCAGAGTTATTTCGTTGGAGATGATTCTTTAAGGAGTTTTCTAGTTTTAATAGTTCTCAAAATTTAAATACTATCTGAAGTGACTAGAAAGCAAAAGGTGAATTGTTTTTTATGGTGTTTGGTGTGTACCTTGAATGTCAAGAATGACCACTGAGGGGGCAGAGGCACTGCCTTAGAGGAAAAAAAGGTAAAAACGTTGTTACACCTTTTCCTCAAACAGATGCTGGGATGAACTTCTGAATCTTTCCAAGAAATCTGGGAGTCTGCAAAAACCGAGTTGTGAGAAAATTTCTGTGGAAAATCAGCAAAAGAGCTTTTTTAGGAAATGAAATATATACATATAATATTACATACAAGCACCATAAGCATATTTTGAAGGACACCATTAAGCACTTTTTACTGCTTAATGCTGTGAGACCAAATCTATGGATATCTCTGAGTAATTTTAATAATTAAAAAACAGTTTCATTCTCTGTTATAAATACCTTTGTGTTAGAGCTTAAACTGTGAAATACATGGTGTGCTATTTTATAGTGTAATTATTGCAGGTTTTATGCTTGATCACTTCAATGTTTGAAGACATCATTGCTGTGTTGGAAGTTAACCCTGCTTTGTTGGTGACATCTCAGCAGAGTGGTGTTCTTAAAAGTGGAAATGAAGGGAGTCTATCAGTCATTGCCAGGTACAGAATAACTTAAAATGTTCTTATTTTTTTTCAAAATTGGATAATGCATTTGTTTTTCTGACACTTAGGTGTATCACATGCTTTTGTACAGTGTTATTTTCTGACTTGGATTAACTTTACCTGTTTCCCTGTCCTGCTTTATTGCACTGAGTGGGAGAAATTACTAAATTGCATAGAGTGGTTGGAACCAGAAGGGACATCTGGAGGTCATCTTGGAGGTCCCTTCTAAAGCAGGGACACTCAGAGCAGGGCCCAAGTCCAGTTTGCTTGGAAAAATCCCTGCTGAGTCTCCTCTTCTTTACGCTGAATAGTTCACATTTTCTCAGTCTTTCCTCACAAGAGAGACACTACTGTCCCTTCATTGTCTTTGTGGCTCTTTGCCAAACTCTCCCTCCAGTAGCGTAATGTCTTTCTTGAACTGGGGGATGTAATCCTGAACACTAAAACAGAGCAGAGGGGAAGGATACCTGCTTTGACCTGGTGGCAGCACTTCTTGGTACACCACATGACACCATTGGCCATTTTTGCTGAAAGAGTGCATTGCTGGTTCACTTCCTGTGTGGGGTTTGCCGGCATCCTCAGGTCCTTTTCTGGACTTGCTGGTCCCCTGCATGTATTGGGGCCTGGAGTTTTTCTTCCCTATATGCAGGACTCAGCACTCTTCCCTGTTGAACTTGTTGATGCTTTTGGCAGCACACTTCTCCAGTCTGTCAGGATCTCTGGATGGCTGCACAACCCTCTGGTGTATCATTCATTCTCCCAGTTTTGTGGTGTCTTCTGAAGCCTTGATAAGGACACACTCCACCATCCAGATTATTAATGCAGATGTTGAACAGGATTGGTCTCAGGACTGATCCCTAAAGTATTCCACCAGTTATTTGATTCCTGCTAGACTTTGTGCCACCAATCACTTCTGGGCCTGGCTGTTCTTGCTGTGTGCTCCTCCAGCCCATGCTTCATGAGCCTCTCTATGAGGATCTCATGGGAGACAATGGCAAAAGCATTCAAGTCCAGGTAAACCATATGAACCACTTTCCTCTTGTCTACAAGATAATCGCTTAATCACAGAAGTTTATAAAGTCAGTGAAGCATCACTTCCCTGGCAAATCCATGGAGATAGCTCTCAATGAGTGTCTGGCCCTTCATGGTCCTTGAAATGACTTCTGTGAAAACACTGACATTTCAAGTCGCAGAAAAACCTGATGTATATAGTGAAGTATAGATTATCACAAATTGGTAAAAATAAGTTTTGACACCTTTTCCTAATCTGATTTTGTCCATTGAATTTATCAATGTTTTATTTATTTTTTTATACTTAGGTGTTCTCTGTTGCCAACATCTCCATTGTGTGAAAATTTAAATAAAAATAAAAAACGTCTGAGTAAAACACATGGTAAGTGTAAAACAATCTTGATATGAATTAATAAAGTCATAGTTTTAAAAACAGTAAAAGACTGTCTGTTGCCTATTCTAAGCAATATATTTATTTTTTAAGTTGTATGTATTTTATTTTTATTTTATTAGGCAGAATTTTATTTTTCTAGTAGTATTTCATATTGTACCCAAATATTTGTAATGAAAATGATGATAATGTGATGTTTTTCTTTTTTAAAATATAGTCTTCTGAGAAATGTCAATTTTGAAAGAGTTAAAGTATGTAGAATGCTTACATTTTCTCATATCTTTTCATAGCGTGGAATATAATTTTCTATGTAACTTGACTTTCTTTCTTATTTTTAGTTAAACATTTGATTGGTTTTGTTGTCCTGAATACTCTTTTGTTAATACTTGTAAGTTTAGGAAATTTACTTTTGACTTTGGTTTCTACTACTCAAAAAAAAAAAAAAAAAAAAAAAAAGGTCTGACTTTCAGTTGCTGTTGGAGAACATATCACTTCTTTGCTCAGTAATACTAAAACTAAGTTCGGAAATAACTAGAAAATATTTTTTTCATAATCACCTTTTCTTTTGAAAAGATAGAAAATAACTGGCAGCTGGAGACACTTAGAATAATCTATTTTGATTCTATTGATTGTAGTTGGTGGACATGCTAGAATGTCAAAGGTTATCGTTTTGGTTTTATGTGGAAATCTGAGAAAGCATCTGTTTTTGCTAGAATTTGAAGCTTCCTCTGAAACCCAGCACTGTGTTATTACTGACACGTCACATTCAGATATCTTAGTTGTTCTAAGGAAATCCTATGATATCTCGGAGCAAGTGGTGTCGGGCATTCTTGAGGAAGGACCATTTTCTCCTTTGTGATTTCATATAGAGAAGTGATAGCTGATGGGAGCTAAAGATGTGTCTATCCTCAGCACTGGTAAATGTGCCCACGAGATCACTCACAATGCTCCTGAAGGTTTTCCCTTGGAATATGAACAAGATTTCCACACCCTCCAACTCCCGCCTTTTAAATTTAATTAGGTCATTTCTGCTGATATGAAATGCTCGTATTTAGTTTTGAGCTGGAAGCTGCCTTTCAGGAATGTTATTACAAGAGGGTAAATGCAGCCATTATTAATGACTTCTCAAGCCACATAAAAGAACAGTCATTTATGTGCACCTACTAGCCAGTTTGTTTCAGATCTTTAGATATATTCCAAATGTAAGTTGTATTTTTTAGCTAGTAAATATAAAACCAAAGCATAAAGTAGGCAACTACAGAATACATTCACGAGTAAACGATGAAAAAAGTTCCTTAGAACACTATTTTTTGTTAGTTCAAAGTTTAGAGAAGTTCCTACTTGATATTATTTGAGGAGGGATATTATGCAAAGAGATAGCTCATTTCTTTCCTTTTCTCAGTCTTCTGAAGTAACTGATCATAATTGTGTTTTGTATGACAAGGAGACATTAAAAATTGTCACTGTTCTAGCATAACTGTATATCCATAAACTTGTAAAAATGTAACGTCACATTAGGAAGCTCTTAAGTGAATATTAAATTATTTTACTATAGGAGTGAAAAGCACCGTGAAAGATCAACCACTGGGTTTTCATGATAAAATTAAGTCATCGGGTTATACAGCTGCACCACAGTGAGTAGATACACTTGTACTTTATCTGCTTTACTGGGATCTGATATTTTGTCATGTAATAGAGACGTATAGTCTCACCACTGTGAAATTGATGACCCATGAAAAATAGATAAGATTTTAACAAACATAGTCCTTTTAAAAACATTGTAAATTTTCACAGCTGCTGATCAGTGATCAATTGCAAGCGGTCTTGAAATAAAAACTTCTGTGTACATTTACACAGTATCTGTTTCTAAATACTATGTCACTTAAACCCACTTAGTTCTTTCCCTTGTTCTACTCACATACAGCATTCTCAGATCAACCCAGGGAGAAGTACGCCATTTATTTCCTCTCAACCATCCTTTGAGACGGGCCATGTTACAATTTTGTGAGCTGTACAACTTCTCTTTATTGGCATGGTGTTATTTTTTAAGAACTTTCAGGATTGTTGTTTTTTATTTTTATTTTTTATTAGGAGCTTCTAAAATCACTTGAGGAACACTTCTCCAAAAGTTTGCTGTAGCTTTGCCTGTTTTTTGCTGGCTGTTAAAGGTTTATCTTTGGATGGAGAACTCACACTCAGATGAGATGAGCAGTGTTGTGTTAGTGTTCCCCACATGAATGGAGAATTTGTCAGTTTCTCAGAGCCACAGATAGATCATACAGACAGCACTTTATTTTTGGTACAGATTATTCTGGACAGCGCCATCCTTTTGTAGTATAATTGTTAGAAATTAGAAGTATAGTTGTAAGTAGAATGGTGCCAATTGTTAGAAGAATTGTTAGAATTTGTAGTATAATTGTTAGAAGTTATAAGTATAGTTATGAGTAGAATGGTGCCAGGTATTACATGAGAAATTACCCTTACTTTGAATGCAAGTGAGTATTGGAACTGAGAAATTAAGAGCTAGCTTTTACCTGTCAGCAATAGATTTCTTTTAAGTGATCTTAGTGAAAGTCTGCTTATGACTACATATTCAGATTGCAACTGGGGGCTGTGGTTTTTATCTTCTGAGAAAAACCGTTAAAGAGTGGGACCTCAAAATAGTTTAAATCATTTTGAAGTGATGAACCTGTTTTTGCTGATTTCTGAATGTTCTATTTGTGTTCCTAATTCTGTGAATATAGAGATTGTGTTGTCTTTTCTCTCCAGTTTCTCTCAACCTAAAAGCCCTGGATAAGATAGGATGAATACAGTCACTGGACTACTAGTTTAAAAAAGTTCTCTTCATCCCATTCCTAATTCCATGATCTAGAATTTCCTTGTTTAATCAAAGCCACTACTGAAGCATCCCTTGAGAACATGACTGAAACTGTCCCAAGCAATAGATAGAAGTTTCAGAGGAAACTATGTCTGACTTGAGGACATCTATGAATTTTCTCCTGCATCTCTTGTACCTCATTTGTAGCTTTGCCTGTCAGTTAAAGGAGCTTTTGGTTGTGATGATGTGTGCAATTATTGTGATGATGTGTGGGATAGATGAAAACCATTCATTTATCCCACCACACGGTGTTCACTGTGGAATATCCTAAATTACTTTTGAATGTGGTGTCAGACTTCTCCCTTAACCAAAAAAATCTCCCCTGTGTTTTCCTGAAGTTTCAGACATGTGAAGATAAACTGTTGAAACAGAGTGTTAAAATGTACTGCAAGATGGAGTGTCTTTCACACTTCAGAGTGATCTGAATACAGCTCAAGCTCTTGCAGGTTTTGCTAAGAAATGTCTCAATTTTTAATATATGTTGTGCTGCTGCTACTAAAAGATTTAGAGTTGTGTTTGCTAAGCATAGTTTCCAGAGAGTCTAGACTCCATTTTTTTCAGGGAATGTAGCTTAGAAACCTGTAATAATTCTGCTCAGATATAGCAAAGACTGTCTTTGTTCCATTTGCTTTGTGTTTATGGTAATGATTTTTTCCTGTACTGCTCTATGAAGGAATTGTGCTGCATGTTTTGCTAACTCAAAAATTACTCTCCCCTTTCGGTTGTTCCAATTTTCTTTCTAAATCTTTATTAGGCATTTTGTGTTTTTCTTGAAGCTACTCTTGTTCATTCAATCTGCAGAAAGAAATACCTGAACACTTCATCTTAATGGACTTTGGCATTCAGAATGCACTATCCAATAAATAAAGCATGGAAAGCAAAACTTCAGCTGTAAACTGGAATATTATAAATCACTACAAAGTCATCTTTTTATCATTCAGCGTGTACATTGTCTTACTTACAGACATTAGGAGTATACATAAACAGTAAGAAGTACCTAGGATTGTTTTTTGTTTGTCGAAAAAACTACCACAACAAGAAAACCCTGCTTCTCTCATGAAACAATGAATGTTTCATATAATAGTCTCTGTTCTTTCTTGTAGAATGGCCATGTTTTCTTCAAATACTAAACTGAAGAAAAATAATGTATCAAAGTGCAAGACCAGTTTTAAAGGGTAGGTAATAAAGCAACTGCTTTAGAGGAGGAACAAATTTAAATGAATTCTATCATAAATATGTTTTATAACTGCTTCTCTTATAACTTTAGTTAGGAGCATCTATGGAACTAAAACACACTGTAAATTTGCTGTAAAATGATTGTAGCAAGTGATTCAGATCTTCATCTGCAATTCTAATAAGAAAAATAGCTGAATGTGACACAGTGAGTTTTCATGATTTCATATCATATGCCTCATTTACTTCTAAAGTTGTGTTGTCTCGAGCCTAATCAAGTTTAGTGTAATGGAGTTAAATAGAATATACATGAAAAGGTTGCCCAGAGAGGCTACTGAGATACGGAGATATTCAGGACCTGTCTGGATGCCTACCTATGCAATCTATTGTAGGGCACCTGCATTAGCAGGGGAATTGGACTCAATCTTTTGAGGTCTCTTCCAACCCCTGCAATTCTGTGATGATTGATTTGATCAGTGAATTCATAGTCATTGTGGACACAAGAGCTAATGTTTTTAAGAAGCTGGCATTTTTTTGTTAATTGATGTGGTATGTTACATGGGAATATTACACACATCCATGTGTGTAATGTTTTTCTCTTTCTCTTTTCTCTTTCTACTATATAAAATCATTCCTCTATGTGTTGCAAACATAAAAATAAAGGATGAATGCTATTTTTCTTCTTTTTCTTAAACTGTTTTTTAAACTTTTAATAGCTGTGCACATAGACAAGCCCTTAGATGAATACTTCAGATGATTTCATAATTGATTTACGTTATTGTGGTGGCTTAACCTAGTTAACAATTACTGTTTTGTTCAGTGTGCTGTTAAGTAGATGATCAATGTCCTATTTCTGTTTACATACAGAAGTATTTTTCATATTACTTACTCTCACAGCAAGGTAGTTTGCATTTTTAATTAATTTCACTAGATAATTATGTGATTTATGAAATTTGATTTTTTAAATTATTTTTGTAAAATGCTGTGTTAATTGTTTATTTCAAAAATTCATAATAGTTGCTGATGTGAGTAATTTAATTATAATAATTTTTAATTTATTCTGATGCTTATTCTGGATTTAGCATAAATTGTCCAGGAAATATACACATAAAAATATTTAGAATAACTCTGCAAGTGATATTTATTTCATTATTGAAATGGTAATAAACTAGGTTTAGACATCTCAATATTTTTCCTTTCTTTCTGCTTTTCCTTTTTTTTTTTTTTTTTTTTTTTTTTTTAATTTATCTTTCTGAAGTAAAAATAATGAATATCCACTGGAAAGTTCTCCTCCAATTAACTATGAGGCAGAAACATCCGTTAGTTTCAACCAACTAGAATTTGTTGTGTTCAGTATTCTGGTATGTATGGTTTCATTAAATGTACTATTTTGACCTTGTGGAGACAGAACAACAAAATTTGTGTAGTGTTGTTTATAAAAGCTATGGTTTTCCTAGGTAAATTCCTAGAAAAATCTGGCATCAGCTGCCTGGTCATCATTTTTTAACTTGCAATACTATGCAATCTGCTAATATGTATCAAATGATTCTAATTCTCCATTGATTTTCTATCTTGTTTGCTTTTGGCCCCGTTCTATCACTTTTCCACCACAACTTGAAAATAATCTCAAGAGCTCCATCAATCCATCCAACCTCTGAAGAGCTTCAACTATCCAGCCAGCCAGCCAGCCAGCCAGCCATGTTGGATGGATTGCGCTATTCAGATGATGGGTGGATGGATGATTGAGCTCTCCAGATGATGGATGGATGGATGGATGGATGGATGGATGGATGGATGGATGGATGGATGGATGGATGATGGAGCTCTCCAGATGATGGATGGATGGATGGATGGATGGATGGATGGATGGATGGATGGATGGAGCTCATCAGATGTTGGATGGATGGACGGAGCTCTTCAGATGTTGAATGAGTGGATGGATGGAGCTCTTCAGATGATGGATGGATGAATGGAACTCTTCAGATGTTGCATGGATGGATGGATGGAGCCCAAATGATGATGGATGGATGATATCAGTTCCTGAGATTATGGATGGCTGGCTGGCTGGCTGGGTGGCTGGATGGATGGATACATGAATGGATGGATGAATGGATGGATGGAGCTTTTAAGACGTTGGATGGATGGATGGATGGATGGATGGATGGATGGATGGATGGATGGATGGATGGAGGTCTACAGATGATGGATATATGAATGGAACTCCTCAGATGTTGGATGGATGGATGGATGGAGCTCTACAGATGATGGATATATGAATGGAACACCTCAGATGTTCTATGGATGGATGGAGGTCTTCAGATAATGGAAGGGTTTATGATGGTGTTCTTCAGATTTTGGATGGATGGATGCAAAGAGCTCTTCAGATGATGGATGGATGGATGGAGTTATTTACATGTTTGATGGATTGATTGATGGATGGAGCTCTGCAAAGGATGAATGGATGGATGGAGCTTTTGAGATGGATGGATGGATGGATGGATGGATGGATGGATGGATGGATGGAGCTTTTCAGATACTGGAAGGATGGAGCTCTTCAGATGATGGGTGGATGGTTGATGGAGCTCTTGAGGTGTTGGATGGATGAAAGGATGGATGAAGCTCTCAAAATGATTGATGGATGAATGGATGGATGTAGCTCTTCAGATTTTGGATGGATGGAGGGTTGTATCTCTTCAGATGTCTACCTCCATCATCCAACCATAATCTCAAGAGCTCCATCAATCTATTCAAGATCTTAAGAGCTCCATCCATCCATCCATCCATCCATCCATCCATCCATCCATCCATCACCTGAAGAGCTTCATCCATCCATACATCCATCCATGTTGGATAGATTGAGGTATTCAGATGATGGGTGGATGGATGGATGGAGCTCTTCAGATGATGGATGGAAGGATAGAGCTATTGAGAAGATGGATATATGGATGAATGGAGCTGTTCAGATGTTGGATGAGTGGATGGAGCTCTGCAGATGATGAATGGATGGATAAAGCTCTTCAGGTGATGGATGGATGGATGGAGCTCTTGAGATGATGGATGGATGAATGTATGGATCTCTTCACATGATTGATGCATGTATGGAGCTCTTGAGATGATGGATTGATGGATGCATTTCTTCACATGATGGATGGATTGTTGATGGAGCTCTTCAGATGACGGATATATGAATGGAACTCCTCAGATGTTCGATGGATGGATGGAGCCCTTCACATGTTCGATGGATGGATGGATGGATGGATGGAGCTCTTCAGATGTTGCATGGATGGATGAATGGAGCTATTCAGATGATGGGTGGATGCATGGATGGAGCTCTTCAGTTAATGGATGTATGAATGGAAAGCTTTAGATGTTGGATGGACGGGTGGATGGATGGAGCTCTTCAGAGGTTGGATGGATGAATGGATGGAGCTCCTGAGATGACGGATGGATGGATGGATGGATGGAGCACTTCAGATGGACGGATGGATGAATGGAACTCTTCAGACGTTGCATGGATAGATAGATAAAGCCCAAATGATGATGGATGGATGATATCAGTTCCTGAGACTATGGCTTGCTGGCTGGCTGGCTGGCTGGCTGGCTGGATGGAGCTCTTGAGATGGTGGATGGATGAATTCAGCTCTTCAGATGATGGATGGATGGATGGATGGAGCTCTTCAGATAATTATTGAATGGATGGATGGGGTTCCTGAGGTGATAGATGGATTCATGATGGAGCTCTTGAGATGATGGACGGATGGATGGAGTTCTTGAGATGTGGTATGGATGGAGCTCTTAAGACGTTGGATGGATGGATGGATTGATGGATCTCTTGAGACATTGGATGGATGGATGGATGGATGGATGGATGGATGGATGGATGGATGGATGGATGGGGCTTTTCAGATGTTTGGAGGATGGAGCTCGTGAGATGATGGATGGATGGATGGATGGATGGATGGATGGATGGATGGATGGATGGAGCACTTCAAGTGATAGATGGATGGATGGGATGGATGGATGAATGGATGGATGGAACACCTCAGATGTTCTATGGATGAATGGAGCTCTTCAGATAATGGAAGGGTTTATGATGGTGTTCTTCAGATTTTGGATGGATGGATGGATGGATGGAGTTATTTACATGTTTGATGGATTGATTGATGGATGGAGCTCTGCAAAGGATGAATGGATGGATGGAGCTCCTGAGATGGATGGATGGATGGAAGGATGGAGCTCTTCAGATGATGGATGGATGAATGGAACTCTTCAGATGTTGCATGGATAGATGGATGTAGCCCAAATGATGATGGATGGATGCATGGAGCTCTTCACATGTTGGATGGATTGAGCAATCAGATGATGGTTGGTTGGAGGATGGAGCTCTTGAAATGATGGATGGATGTAAGGGTGGAGCACTTGAGATTATGGATGGATGGATGCATCTCTTCAGATGATGGATGGATGGATGGATGGATGGATGGATGGATGGATGGATGGATGGATGGAGTTTTTCAGATGTTGACTGAGTGCATGGATGGAGCTATTCAGATGTCAAATGGCTGAATGGATGGAGCTCTTCAGATGATGGATGGATGGATGGAGCTGTTGAGATGATGGATGGATGGAGGGATTCAGCTCTTCAGATGATGGATGGATGTATGATGGAGCTCTTCAGATTTTTGATGGCTGGATGGAGCTCTGCAGATTTTGGTTTTTTGGAACTCTTCAGATGTTGCATGGATAGATGGATGTAGCCCAAATGATGATGGAGGGATGCATGGAGCTCTTCACATGTTGGATGGATTGAGCACTCAGATGATGGATGAATGGATGATGCAGCTCTTGAGATGTCCAGCTCCATCATCCAACCAATAATCTCAAGAGCTCCATCAATCCATCCAACCTCTGAAGAGCTTCAACTATCCAGCCAGCCAGCCAGCCATGTTGGATGGATTGCTCTATTCAGATGATGGGTGGATGGATGGTGGAGCTCTTCAGATTTTGGATAGATTGATGGAGCTCTTGAGATTACGGCTCGATGATGGAGTTCGTCAGATGATGGATGAATGGACGGAGCTCTTGAGATGATGGATGCATGGATTGAGCTCTTCAGAAGTTGGAAGCATTGAGCGCTTCAAGAGATGGATGGATGGATGATATCAATTCCTGAGATTATGGATGGATGGATGGCTGGATGGATGCATGGATGGATGGAGCTCTTCAGAAGATGGATGAATGGATGCATGGAGCTCTTCAGAAGATGGAAGGATGGATGGATGGAGCTCTTCAGGTGATGGATGGATTGAGCTATTCAGATGATGGATGAAGGGAAGATGGAGCTCTTGAGATGATTGATGGATGTTTGGAGAACTTCAGATGATGGATGGATGGAAGGATAGAGCTCTGAAGATGAGGAATGGATGGTGGATGTAGCTCTTCAGATTTTGGATGGATGGATGGAGCTCTTCAGATGTTGGATGGGTGGATGGATGGATGGATGGATGGATGGATGGATGGATGGATGGATGGATGGATGGATGGATGGATGGATGGATAGAGCTCTGCAGA